ACACATCTACTTCAAGAGGTGCATGGATTTCACAAGTGGTTTCTCTTCTGTCATTTCTGTAGGGGCTATACAAAACTAAAAGGTTGCTCCTGTGCAAGAATTAGAGATTGCTCATGAAGTCAGCATGGAAGGCATTTACACTGGCACATGATGCTGTGCTCTCTCCCCTTGCAACACCTGTACAACTGCTCCACAGCAGTCACTCAGGTTCTGCTCTTTACCCTGCAAAGACACTGTTGCCACTGCCCTCGTCTAGGGTATGCGCTTTTGCAGAGTAGCTGTTGTGACATTTATTGTGACCCAATATGTGTAAGCAACTGACTTCAGTCTCCAGAGCCAGATTTGTGATCAAGTAATTTTAAGGCTGTAGTTTAGTTTAAAGAAATCAGAACAGTGGAGCCTTGTGAGATGTAAAACTTCAGTAACCTGGATGGCACCTGAGGTGGGCTGGCAGGACCTAGGGAGAACACCATCATCTGTTTCTTTTTCCTGGGGTTAGACTCAAGTATCATACCACAGCCCTTTAAAAAGGTCCTACAACATGAAAGTCACAGGAATCAAAGGATTCAGGGTGAAGAAACAGTTTATCATATTTCTAGCCCCCTTTGACAATATTCTTTAAAAGGTAGTATCCAGGAAAGCTTCAGAGACGCTGCTCCCCAGATACATCCTCATGCGTTTATAAAGCCTCATTAAAGAAAAGAGGCGCTTGCCCTTGCAGTCAGGTTAGCAGCTTTGCCAGTGCTTGCAGACATCTGTATGAATATTCCTACGCTGCTAAATCTGGACCCATCACTTCCTTAATAGATGATGTTCCTGAGTCTACAGTGAAATAATTTTTCTGACATACGTAGATGTTCTAATCAGATGTAGAAAGAAGAAAAAGGATAGTTGCATTTCCTGGAGGTACAGACAACTTTATATGACCAGTAATTAGTTCTCTGTAGCAGTGAGCATTTCTGTGTTAAGTTTCTGTTGTATTTCACCTGAATAAGTTTCCCATTTTAAGAACAAGTGATGCTGTGATTTAAAGCACTGTATGCCCTTTATTTCTACTGACTACAACACTTCTTATGGCAGTTTAAGCTCTCGCTTCTGTCCCTTTCAAGCTGGAAGCAATCTTCAATGAGAACATGAGACAGTAGACAAGCCTGTCTCAGACGGGGTATGATAGTCACCTATTTAATTTGTTCTCTGTATCCCTTACAAATGAGAATGTGTTACAGTATTCATACTGTCTCATAATCATGCTCTAATCTGCAAACAAGGAGGTGCTTGTGCTGAACTTTGCTTCATCTCTCTATAGGACTACTAAGTAAATCGTTACCATAGGTACTGAGTTACATATGATATAGCAATGCAGGGTAGATGGAAAGATCCTTCAATGCCAACTCTTCCTAGACTTCTTTGAACTGGGAAAAGGGGGGCTTCGGGGAGAAGTCCAGCTAGATTCTAAAAGTACTAATACTGTTATGGAAATCTGTAGGGTAAAATTTATAGGATTGAGGGAGACCTTTAACTGGTTACTAGATCCCACTGAATAAAGCTGAAAAAACCAAAGTGCATCTGGGGTATACTACCTGTCTGTTGATTACCAGGGATTTAATTCTCCTGTGACAGCATTACTTGCTTAAAAAAAATTAGGTCTTTACCTCAGCTAGTAATGTAGACCCCTTTGGTGATACTATTACCACTAAACAATTTATACTGAAACAATTTATAGAGATGTGTACTGTGCTCCCCTTGCTCACAGTACAGCTACCTTCAAAGCCCAGTCAGGCTGCTGGGGGCTGTGTCCAACCAAGCTAGCCACCACAGAGGCGATATCTTTGTCTTCAGCTTTCAGCTGTTCAGTCTGAGAAGATGGTTTGCAAGAATTAAACTTTTTTGATTAATCAGTCACTGTTAAGTTTAATGCCTATATTTTGCCTTTTGCATTAGGTATATGTGAGTAAAATTTAGATTCTGAATATGGCAATGCAAACTTGCAAATATTTTTGAACTAAAAACAGACAAAAAAAAAATCACACTCTTTAGAATGGAGATGCAATTTTGACTAAGTTATGACTTCTTTTTTCTGCCAGGTAAACCTCTGACAAAAAAAAATCACACTCTTTAGAACGGAGATGCAATTTTGACTAAGTTATGACTTCTTTTTTCTGCCAGGTAAACCTCTGCAATCATTTCCGCAACAAAAGATAGGATGCAGAGGGTCAACTTATCAACGGTATCTGAATTTGTTCTTGTAGGCCTTTCTGATGCTCCGGAAGTCCGTTTTCTTCTCTTTGTGTTTTTTTTGATAATTTATTTGGCCACCATGACAGGCAACATCACAATCCTTGTTGCCATTAGCACAGACGCTCGTCTGCACACCCCCATGTACTTCTTCCTTGGCAACTTATCTTTGCTGGATATCTTATGCCCAACTATCACTGTGCCAAAGATGCTGGAGGCCTTGTTGCTTGAGAACAAGGTGATTTCATTCACTGGCTGTATGCTCCAGCTGTTCTTCCTCATTGATGTTGTAGGTACAGAGATTTTTCTCTTGGCTGTGATGGCGTATGACCGTTACGTTGCAATATGTCATCCGCTGCAGTACATGAATATCGCGACTATGAAACTGTGTGCTCACCTAGCCATCGGCACCTGGGTAGTAGGATTTTTTAATTCTCTGTTGCACACATCTATGATTTTTACACTCTTTTTTTGTGATTCTAATGAAGTTGATCAATATTACTGTGATATTCCTCCTGTGCTGGCCCTCTCCTGCTCGCCTACTTATAGTAGCGAACTGGTACTTCTCACAGTTGCTGGGGTCCTTGGAAGCGGTGCCTGTGTGGTCACTCTGATCTCGTATATCTATATCCTCTTGGCTATCCTGTGCATGAACTCTTCGGAGAGCAGGCAGAAAGCTTTCTCCACTTGTGGTTCTCACTTGACAGTAGTATGTCTTTTCTATGGGACCACCATTTGCACATATGTGCGACCTTCCTCCACCTACTCACCTAATCAGGATAGGATAGTTTCCATGCTCTATGGAATCCTCACCCCCCTGCTAAACCCCATAATCTACAGTTTGAGGAACAAAGAAGTTAAATGTGCCCTAAGAAGAGTGATCAGTCAGGTAAGAACTGCTTTAACAAGACAAGAACATCCCTCTCCGTCTCTGGTGTCCTCTGGAGCCCTAGCAATTGGATAGACGCTGCAGTTTGACTGATCTTCTCTAACTTTAGCCATCTAAAAGTTAGATGCTGGAATCAAAACTCCTTCTCTGGACTCCCTTCACAGTTAAAAGGGGGAGGTGTGCACCTCCAGAAGGTCAACTGGATGGAACAGCTTTAAGTCATGATCACAGGAGGAGGTGACTTCAGCTGGTAATGTTTTTCTCCACTGACCACAGAGGAAGCTTAGATGAGAGCTTCAGCCTTAGACACAGGTGTTGGATGCATATCTTAGAGTGTGAATGCTGGGAATTGGTGCTGTAGGCACACTTAGATACACGTTCTTCTGTACTAACACATTTTATAGGGCTGGTGCCTCAAATTGACCCCATTGCTCCTGCAGAAAACGTAAGCACATCCTTTGCAGGAACCTGCAGACTGGAAGGAAGGCTCCTCTGCCATCATTTAAGGTCATTGCTCTAGGTGTGTTTTCAACGAACATGCCAAGAATCCAACTGCAACACCCACAGTGTCACCAGTCGCAATCTGGCCATCGTTTGCACGGGGGTGAAAGGGAGGCTTTGCAGTCATGGGCTTTGTGACCATCGCACAGCCATGCTCTCGCTTTTCTCACCATTGGCAGACTGAAGGAAGGTTTACAGAGTGTGCCTGAGATCTGTGTGAGTCCATAACTAGGAACAGTGCTTCACTCCAGGCAAAAAGGGAAGGCATGGCTGACAAAAAGGTGGAAATGGATGTGCGGGAGTGGAGGGGTGCTGTGCAGTCTCCTCTGTGAGCTGGAGCTATAAATCTGTATATAAGCTACGTGGCTCTGTGCTGGGGTGATAAACTCGTACAGCTTGAGCTGGACCTTGGGCTGTGTTAAAGTGCTGTGGCATGTCATTCTAGCTGTTGTGCCTGGGGTTAAATAACTGATGTGACTTACTTGTTTGCACACTACTTCTACTTCTTACTAAAAACAAATGTCAAGGACTTTCTCAGTGGCGTTTTTTGTGGTTGCTGTCTTGGTGTAAAGGATGAGCTAATGACTTTTCTGCAGGAACTCATATCTTAGTGGTAGCAAATGCACATCCTTAATATTAAACCAGTGGAAATAATTTAAGCTTCATCCATTCTCAGCTGTCATGTTCACAATGGGCTCAAAAGTCAACTGTAATGACCAAAGAGTTTTTCTCTAGGGTAATACATTCTGCATTTTCTGGGGCTTGCTTTTTTTTTTTTTTTTTAAAGTATATTTCACTGACTTAACAAAATGCATATAAGTCCATCCAAGACCACTCAAATTTTGAAGTCAAGCATTAAGAAGTTGGTAAGGCCACCCATATAGCTGCAACGCCACAGAGCTTCCCACCGAGTTCGATGTCCTGACCTACAGGACAGTTGGAATTCAGTTTTCTAAACACAAGTGCATGCAAGATGACCCAAGGTATCTTTCCTGGTCCATAGCTCCTGTTCCATAAAAAGTATAGACTACTTAGAGTCATGTTTCATTTCCACCAACTGGGTGAAAAGGTGAGATGTCCACTACTGCCTAACAGGGGCTATTTACCTATTATAAGCAGAGCAGCAGATGTTTACACAGGGTTTCCTGTGATTTGAACTATAACAGTGGAAACCGTTTAAAAAAAAGTCATTTATTCCAAAGCGATATGAAGAATCGCAAGACATGCATCAATGTGGACAAAGTAGAGCTAACGTGGACAGCAGAGCTAACGGACGGCCCTTTCAGTCCCCCCAAGACAGCTGAGGGACAGGGCTGGCTCTGCAGCCCCTCCAGCAATCTCAGGCCAGCCTGTGGCCAAGTGCATCCTCTGTCCCCAACTGGGATGATATGGAACAGATCTGACACCATGCTTTCTACAGTGAGCTGAGAGTAGCCCCTGAGGAGCACCCTGTGCTGCTCACAGAGGCTCCCCTGAACCCCAAGGCCAGCAAAGAGAAGATGACACAGATCACATTTGCGACCTTCAACACCCCAGCCGTGTATGTAGCCATCCAGGCTGTGTTGTCCCTGTATGCCTCTGGTTGTACCACTGGTACTGTGATGGACTCTGGTGATGGTGTTACCAACACTGTGCCCAGCTGTGATAGTTATGCCCTCCCCCATGCCTTCCTCTGTCTGGATCTGGCCGGCCTTGACCTGACGGACTATCTCGTGAAGCTCCTGACAGAGAGAGGCTACCGCTTCACCACCACAGCCGAGAGAGAAATCGTGCATGGCATCAAGGAGAAGCTGTGCTATGTCACCCTGGATTTTGAGCAGGAGATGGCCACAGCTGCCTCTAGCTCTTCCCTGGAGCAGAGCTACGAACTCCCGGATGGCCAGGTCATCATCATTGGCAAGGAGAGGTTCAGGTGCCCTGAGGCCCTCTTCCAGCCATCTTTCTTTGCTATGGAGTCCCGATGCAGCTTTGCAGGTAGAGCTCTGGTGGGAAAATGCTGCTTCCC